TTCACCAGATATGTAAATAGGAAACAGCCCTATAGTTGACATAAAGACAATACCAAACAGATATCATTTGTGTGGCAGGTTTTTTTAAAGAAAAAATATACAATATACAAAAGCAAAAAAAAATACAATTTAAATGTTTTCTTTTAACACTGAAGCAAAACTGTCATTACAGCAAACATTTTTAGTGGGTGGGGCAAAGGAGGTGAGACATACTTCATGGTTTACCCCCTGTCTCTGCCTTGCGGGGAACTAATAATCCAGAATTAGAGAAGGCACTGAAATAGAGCACACTCCAGAGAAGAAGAGATCCTCCAAAGTCAAAGAATTCAGGTAGTACTTATACTGTATTTGCTTCCCAGATCCATTGGAAGAGATATGGCCAAGCAAACAGCTCCATCACTTCAGATCTGAAGGCCACTCTGATCCCATGTTTATCATGATCTGATCAATGATATGTGGAGATAAAATTGGAGCACTGATCAAAAACTGTTATGAAAGCCACATCCAGGATAGAAGCATTAAAGCACAGAGCATTGTGAAAGATGTCTGACAAAGAGAGTATTCATCTTTCATACATCTGAATATTCAAACTCCTCCAATTGAGGGACAACATGAGCCTATGATACCAGTACAGCAATAGCGAATGCTTGTATTAAATGCCTCAGCTTGAGCAGTAGGCCGAGAGCTCTGAGACAAGCATAGAGTTCACAGACCTCAGGAGGATAGGAGTTCCTCCTTTTGAATATGTCATTTTTCATCTTTAGTTTTTGAAGTGGTTGCTTCACATAATAAAAGTCAATTTAAAGAGTGTTATAGAGCAGGAACCAAAAGATATGACTTCCTGGCAGTCTTTGGCTCCTTTTCCTTTTTTTTTTTTTTTTTGGAAGTACTCCAGGTAATAAAGAAGCCAACTGGAATATGTTGGGAACCAACTGTGTGGTCTGTTAAGACGAAAAGCACAAAATAACAATATGTCTGTATGAAAACTTCATATCACTGGAAATGGCAATTAATAATTGGAGGAGAAGCCCTGGGGCATGGAAGCCCAAATTAAAGGAGGGGTGGACAAAGACACCAAAATACACCAAAATAAAGCAGTATGTAGGCATAGTGTGTATGCAATATAAATAGCTTCAAAGAAACACAGTGCATGAAGATGAAGGACAAATTAAGGTAAGAAATGCTCAGAAGGTTTGCATTGGGGACACCAAGATGCATGGAGGTACACAGGTGCATGGAAGCTGAACTACAGGCCCAGAGTCCAGTTAACACACATCAATGCAATCAAGACAAATAAAAGCCTTACTTGTTCTCAGCTTTTTTGCTTTTAAACCTGAAAGAAGTACAGGTATAATAGAAGTAATCAACAATAAAAAGAGGAACAATCTCTCTAGAAACAAAACAAAAAAGAAAAAGCTTTCATAGTAAGGGGAAGAGAAGGGGTTGAAGGGAGTGAAAGTGAAAGCATCTGAACCTGCAAGAAAAACAAGGACGGCAACAAAAGGGTAGAATGAAGGAATGAGGAAAGGACAACTAACACATACCACACAAAAGCATATGAATAATAACAAATATTTTGCACAGGTGGAGGTAATATCAGAGTTAAAATCAACACTTTTTTTCCAGCACTAGCATGTGAGTGGAATGTCCCAAAAGAAGGAAAGAGTCTCATAGGGAAAGACCCATTAAAAGACAGAGTACAAACTGTACTGCTTTTATACAATTTTGTTACACAGCAATCAGGCAAAGCAAATCTATATTAGTAATAGCTGTAAAACAGCAATGCTTATTAATAAACCACAAATTTAAGTGTTGCTATAGATTTTTAGCAAGAACCCTCACTGTGGTTTGAGCCTAGTGAAGCTTGTTTGTTAGAAAAAAAGGGAAGATAAGATGGCCTGATAAGAAGCATCTCTCAAGACAGTGATACAATCCAGGACAGTGTTTCCCATGATGGATCCCCACTCCTGGCATCTGGATGTCTAGTCACTAAGTCACAGTTGTGGCCAATTATCCAAAAGATACACATTGCTACAACAGAACTTTCTCTTCTGGTTTAACATTCTGATGCTGTAGATTGCACTCTGGATCAGGCGTGCATAGACTGGACATAGACACAGATGCCGCTAGTTGTTATTGTTGACCAAATAGTATCAATAACCAATGTTTGATATCAATTTAGATAGATAGATAGATAGATAGATAGATAGATAGATAGATAGATAGATAGATAGATAGATAGATAGATAGATAGATAGATAGATAGATACTTTATTGATCCCATGAGGGAAATTGCAGTGCAACAGCAGCTTAACACACACAACACAGCCACAGTGTTACGAATTATATAATAATAGTACAATATGTGTATATGCCTTTAGTCCAGAAACAGGTCACTGTCGATGTTGCCTCTGCCAAGACACAAGGTGGATGCGTTGTACAGTCTTATGGCAGACGGCAAGAATGACCTCCTGTAGTGCTTCCTGTCGCACCGTGGATGAATCAGTCTATTGCTGAACATGCTCTTCATTCCTGCAAGCCTGTCATAGAGGGGATGGGAGAAGTTGTCCATGGTGGCCTCTAGTTTGGACATCATTCTCCTCTCAGCCACTACCTCCAAGGGGTCCAGGTCAGACCCAATGACAGAGCTTGCTCTCCTGATGAGCTTGTTCAGCCTTTTGGAATCTACTGCTCTAATCCCAGAGCCCCAGCACACCACTCCGTAGAAAATGGCACTCGCTACCACCGACTGATAAAACATGTGTAGCATCTTACTACACACATTGAAGGACCTGAGCCTCCTCAAGAAAAAAAAAAGTCGGCTCTGTCCGTTCTTATAGATGGCCTCGATGTTCTTAGACCATTCCAGTCTATCGTCGATGTGCACTCCCAATTTAATTGATCTAAGTAACATAATGTACTTATGAGTATCTGAATATTGACCATGTTTAATGAGATTTGACTAGTTAATATAACTGATAGTATATTGAATGCATATTCTTTTTGTTTGTATATCTCAATAATGTTAATATCTGTTATATTTTGGTAACCCTTTAGTTAATGTTGTGCCAGGGCAGATTGAGACTGTAACTTGGGCAATAATAACACAGTTAGGTAGGTTAGGTCCCCATGGGGAAATGGGGGCAAGGGCTACCATTTTTCTTGACCATCAGACACTGGAGGTGGAGGTGATGTGGTCAGCGTCAGGTTAATTCAGAACACATTAGCAGCATGTTAACAAGAATGTGTGATATTTGTAATTCCTGTGTCATCAAGGCTCTCATTCATCACTAGGGCATCCCATGCTAGCACACCCATTTCACAACTTAACATTTTCCCTGTTTGACACTTTCCTTTCCATTATCAGGTTCAAAGTCTGTTGCTATTGTACTTATTGTATTTCCAAAGATTAAAAAGCAAGAAAGTTTTCTTCCTTATATGGTCCACATATCCCATATATTCTGTGCATCCTTTTACTGTACTGTATGTCTATTCTGAGTTATATAAGAATTTGAGACATTTATTTTTCATTTCCAAGCTGTTCCAACTGTTTGGCCTCTAATATCAAGTTTTTAGTTTTGAAATATCTGTGGCTCAGTGCTGCAAGATATTTCAGTTTTGTTGGATATGATTCAAAGAGAAACCAACTGAATTAAAGATTACTTAAGGTTCAGGATTTAGGATTTAAACACACTGCTCATTTCTGCCGTAAAATAGTTTTTATTGGATAGTATACAGTATATAAAAAAATACATGAAGAGCTACAAGAAGAAACTGGGTGAGTTTAATCATTTAATTTAAGTTGTACTGTTAGTTTTTTTCTAGTAATAATACATTAGAATATATACTAATGGAAAAAAAAAGGCAATACCTCCTCCTCCACACTCAATTTAATAATAGCTGGAGCACATGTCTCAGATTATGACTTACTGTGCATAACAAAGTTTTCTTCTATGACGTTAATGATCAATATAACACTGTAGCTGCCCATAATGCTCATTTGCAGTAGAATTTGGACACCCAGATGTGATGATTCTGAAGCTGGGTTCTCACAGGTGTTTTGTTGTTGACTAAGTATAGTCAGCTCACAGGCTCTTTCTGCCATTAACTGCTAGTGATGGTGATGGATAGGCCTTGAAGGGAAACTTCCTATAGCATGGGCCTCCTCTTTTCAATTAACAACATAATACTGTAGTTGCAGAGTGATTAAAACCACTTATCCTATCTGCCCTTTATATCTGTAAACATTGCCTTTGTACCCTTGATGGCACATATTTTATAATTTTGTACTTAAGAGATAAAGTGTAAAAATGGGTTGTAAAGCTAGCATTTCCAGACAGGATAAACAACTAGCATGGCATAATAAAGTAGGGGTGAATTTGGGTTGGAGCAAGGTTTATTGTCTTTGAATGTGATGTTTTACATAACAACAGACAGTTTAGCATAAGGAATTTAAGTAATGTGACAACTGGGCTTATTTTATCCATGACTCCCCCTCTCTTGTGAAAAAAATAAATAAAAATTCGAAAAAGTCAGTTACCTACTGTGCATTGTACCATCATGACTGTTGGTGTAACGGTTTAGAAGGTGTATCAGTTTCACAAGTGGGATGCTAAACTCCTCAATGAAACAAGGCACGCTAATTTGGCTTTTTTCTTTTAACAAATCTTCAATATTTACATTTTCAATGCCTTGGTTTAAAACGCAAAAACAAATCAGAAATAAAGTACTTGATATCTATCGCACGGGGTGTGTGTTTTTAATAACTGTCAGTAACAGTAAAGAGCCAAGAGAACCACAAAAAAATGATACAATAATAAATGTGTGCTCCACAAGTTGGTAAGCAGTGAAACCTACAGTGCGTCAGTTTAATAGCAGCTATTTTAACTACCCTGTCACAACTACGGAATGAATGACACTGCTTAGAGCTGCAGGGACAGTCTTTAAAGTGGGCGGCTCTTAAAAGTGGGTTTGGAATAAAAGGCGTTGCGGCTCTAAAGTAAGGATATTTATATTCCTACCGCTAGGAATGAAGCTTACTTATGTGCTCCTATGAACTTTGGACATTTGCACATTGCAGTTCTGTTTCGTTGTTAAACATTTTTCAATCTGGACGATTTGCCGAAAAGCCTTGGATATGCTTAAACGGAATTACGAGAATCCCTTCCCTCCAATCTGAAGGCAGAAACAAATAGGGTTTTATTTTCTTTGGATGAACTCTTCTCTTTCCTTATGAAGAAGGCAAAAGTAAGTCTATATGCAAATTCTGCGTTTTGCACCTTACATTACACCTTTCGGCGCACTTGTGTAATGTGTTTTAAGGTCTGACAAAGTCATGACTATACAGTACAGTATATTGTGCAAGATAGCGGCTTCAGGTAACATTGATGTAGAGTAATTACTTTTCACAGTGCTTTTATATGAACTTTGCTTGCAGTTTAGTTTAAGCCCCTTCTTGGTTTATTTCTCAACAACCTTTAGAAAATATACGACAGTTTTCTCACAACTGTAGTGGGTCGTACAAGCCCAAATAAGTATGCTTCAGATTCCAAGATTTGAACTGGGTAAATGTAGTTCGTGTATGGAGCTGCTGAGAACTTCATATTAACACATAAGCTTGGCTTTTACCATCACTCCTTGTTGAAATAATACTGTAGTAGTCATAATGACATGAGAATTGGAAGCAATATGCTAACACGCTTTCTTGCTTTTCCTTGTCAGGAATTTAACAGGTAACTTAAACGTGATTTAAGACTATCCCCTTCACTTTTACATAATGTTGAAATACAGATAAACTGCGGAGAACATCTGTCCTCTCACATTTGAAAACGATGATCTTGCCTAGAGGGGATGTTCAAATTGTAGCATGGGTTGTCCGTGAATATTCGTTTCCAGTGTATTAGACACTATAAAGCATTTCTTACTGTACTTTCTCCAAGGCTTATGTTGAAGTAAATTACAATGATCTTCGAAGAACAATTTGCACGTTTACTGTAGGTATTTATCTTTACTTAACGTGGCTAATCGTCTGAATCGTTGCCCGCGGCGTTTGTCAAGATGATACATGTAACAACTTTTTAAACTGAGCTGGACAATAAAGAAAGAGAATAGACACATGAAATATACACTATTCATTTTTAATATGCATGGATGTCAGTAGTGAACATGACATTTCACGTTTCTATTACAATTACAAGAAAAAGTTATGATGATGGTGATTAAAACCGCAATTGTATTTCGTCTTTTAATAGCTAGATAGCGATCATTCCACAAAATTTAACAGAAGCACTTGTAGGTACTTAGCACTTAAGCACCAGTCTAGCAAGCATGAAGTCTAAAGCTACTGTAGGTGAGTCCTACATTTTGATTCTAAAAACAGTTGGATGTTTAATTCAGGATAAAATAAGAGACACAATGACATGAAAAAAAACAATTCAAAGAACTGCCTGAGTCTGTAAAGTGTTACCTTATATCATTTTTGTTTAACCTGTTGGATTTATGTTCGCGATTCTTGAGGAACAGCATGGCTGAAGCCTACAATGACAGCAAGATATTTAATTTCATAAAAGCAAATAAGCTACACAAGAACTGCAATTATAATACAGTATATTGTTTTAAGAAATCTTAATAAATTGTCGTAAACTCCACTTGTAGTTCAAAATGCAATACACTCTTCTTATTTAGGAACCCACGAGGTTACAAAAAACTGTGCTGCTTTTAAGGGTCCGCACAATTCATCTGTAATCTGGAAATGTACGCTGTTTTTAAGCATAAAAAAATATTATAGTAAGAAAACTTTACGTATACAAATGTACTATGCGTAGTAATGCATAGAAAGGAGCAGCCTTCAACTGAACACGCTAAAACTTTTAAAGATACTGAGGGTTAAAGCAAGAGTTACTGTACTTGATCACCGAGGAGCGACTGTCCTGTTCAGTTAATTCTGAAATTTGCGTTTCATATACTGTACCAGTAGGCTTTTTTTCGTTCTGAATCTGCAGTAGAACCCTATTTTAAAACCATAAAGGTCTCTAACCTGTGTTTTTGCGGGTCAGGTCTGGGATTTTTAACTGTATATTTAGTATATTATGGATTTTAACGTTAGGTTTTAAAAACTGACATTGTTCTTAAGACATTTCAGACTCAACATGTGAATAATCATATTCTTTTAAAGACCATTATGAAATACATTATGCACTCCTGTGTAAGTTGCATTCACAGTGAAAACGGCAAGAAAGTCCAAACTGTGATATGCATTTAGCACAGAAATTTCAACAGAATTGTTCAGCAACATTTTATTAAAAGACACAAAAATTGTTTTTAAAAACCCAACCATACATTTTGACATACAACTTGTAAGCACATATGTAATGAACTGAAGTTGTTTTAGTTAGTACAGAGAAGTCATATTTTAATTACCCTAATATTCTTTTTTGTATTAATGAAGTTATTGATGCTCATTTTAGAATGCTCTGCATTCTTTAGTAGTGTGTTAAAGGTTCTCTGAGTGCCAGTTTTCTGATTATGAAGATATGTTACAGTTGGCACTATTGACATGAAATGTTGTTTTAACTGATGAGGAGGTGTAATGACAATATTTTACCTGTTTATGAAGAAATACCACTGGATTAATAAAGACAAACCATGCATTCATGTTTATGGTTACTACACTTTAAAAGATATCACCTTGAAACAGCTACAATAGCTACTGTACAGTATAAAGAACAAGTATGGGAAAAAATCTGTGTTTTCTAAACAGTATTTAACAAGAGCTTACTAGGGGATTATGATTTGCTTTTAAAACCATGGAGTGGCTCCTTTAACTCAAGAAAGACCTGCTGTACTCTGGTCTGTAGGATGAGCTCTGTGGAACACAGGTTCAAATCCGGGCTGGGACACCTGTGTGCCCCAGGGACAAAAATAAATGGGTTGCCTGCCATCTCTTTAGGTGGGGTAGAGTGAATTGACTAGGGGGAATCATTTAACCCGACACTGGAAAAACAGGGTTGTATGCCTTAGGTTAAAGGAAGATGAATGCTCTTTCAAATAACACGGAAGCTCCTCAGTATCATTTTTTTTCAGTTGGCCTTAAAGAAGCAATTTAACTTTTCATCTTTCCTCCTAGGAAGAATATACAGGAATAGACTACAGTGTTGGGTTAAGAAAGTGTTCAGGTTTTCCAAATTAGTGTTTTAAAGAGTGACATCATTCTCCATTTATACAGTACTGTACATAGATTTTACCTTAGGTCAGTGACAGTAAAGTAGTGATGGTGCGGTAACGAGTTTTCCATTTGTGATGTGATCTGATATAAAGTAACATTAAATGCTGGGAGTGCAGATGCATGAAACCTTGAAGTGATAGGTGTGGTAGAGGTGATTGTAATTGACACTAATGAAGGGATTAATCAATATGTTTTTATTTTGTTTTGGAAATGAAGATTCAGGTAAGTTGTGGTAAAGGTCATACGGTATTTAATTATTCAGTTCATGTACTGTAGATGTATGTAACAGAAAAACTAAGAAAAGCTTAAACTGTACCAGAGAAGGTAAAAAGCTTTTTTCACAATGAATTATTGTTGAGTCTTGTGTTGAAATTGCTCTATTTTAAGAATGTGAAGTATTCTGTGAAGTATGGTTATATTTTTTTATTTACAAAACTTGGTTGATGCTGTGTCTGTTTACGATGTGGTTAAGAAAAAAATATTCTTACTCTGTGACTGAACTGAAATGAGTTTGAAAATACATTTTAGAACATTAGTGCTCATTTCCTTAGTCACATGTACTGTATTTGTCACATTGTATTACAATACCTTTCGTTAAAGGTGCAAGTCAACTTGAATGAATATTGCTTGTAGTACTTCCAATTCAGTTTAAGTAATTATAAATTAGGTTTTGGCCTGTTGCTTCAGGACTTTTCCAACTACAGGACTTGGATTAATTCACTGTTATGCATTATGAAGATCAGTATCAGCACATGGTGATACTAAAATTATTTTAGTTTTTATCCCAATATTTAGGGTTAGTACTGACAAGTACTGAACTCCCAAGATACAGGGTTAGTCCGAACAGTACTGAACCCAATGGCTGAGATTCTGGCACATTAACTTGAAACACTGTAAGGGGGGATAAACAAAGCCACACAATCATAAAGATGAACTTAGCAAAGCAATGACTTAATTTATTTTAGATTTTAAAATACAGATTTCAATAGGATAGTTCTAAGGGAGACTTTTGTGACATTATTTCTCATTTCTTAATGTACTCAAAATGTCACCATACATATTTTCAATCACCAGTTCTGTATTCTTATGACAGTAAATCAAGAATACTACTACTAACCGGTATGTTAACAGTTTTCTCTAGTCTTGTAGAGAACATGTGTTTCTGTTCTTTAATGTCTGTGACCACTGTTGCTTTTCGTGGTGTATGTTGATCTAAAACCTGAATGCCAGAGGTATTTAAATCCATACAATATTTAATTCTTATAGGATAAACTGTAACATGTATTTTAAATTCATTAAGTGTTGCATATAGATGCAACTTGTAAAAATATTGTTTAAATTATAATTAGCAAGATCTTTATTTCAAGCTTTTATACATACTGTAACGGTTATACAATGCACATCTGTTTTCATTCTTTTTGGTAAAATATGTCCACTCTTAAGGATTTTATTATAATTGTCCAGATTCACAGTTTTAATCGTGGCCATAACTTATCAGTAGTCATACTACTACCCATTTTACCCATAAGAATTGTAAGATTAAATTTATTCTTTCACTTTAAGCAACCAGAGACCATGGATTATTGAGTAAAATGTCAAAAGTCAAAGGAAAAACAAATCCCAAAACTGTCCATACTCTTAGTTTCTTAGATCATTAAATTGAATTTGTTATGCTCTTTATATGCAGTTCAAGGAAAAACAGGGTTTTTGTATTGTACAAGAATCAAGTAATTTGCTGACACAAATCCGATTTATATTCTTGGGTACAGTTACTGGTCTTGAAAAGCCTCATTATTGAGTTTGATGCTACTGTTCTGTGCAAAGATAAAAAGAGGGATATTCTGCTGTTGCATTTTTGAGTTGAACAGGCCTTATTATGGTAAAAGTCGTCTGTCACAAGTTTTTGTTTTTATACAGCATCAAAGGCGGGGATTGTTTAATGCACTTTTCTCTTGAAGCTTTTCTTGCTGTTTATTTGTATCCTTGTGTTTCTGCTTATAAGTTATGTTAATCCAGTTAAACA